TCAAAGATTGGTTGGACCTTGTTGAAGCAATCCGTTGTGTGGTCCAACATGTGAGGCTACAGAATACCGATAGAAAGCGAAAATTAATATTTTACACATGCTCCATGGGCGGAATGGCAGTCATTGCATACGCAATTAAATATCCAGATGATTTTGACGCATTTGCGGCAATGGCACCTCTTATTTATGTGGAGGAAGAAAGTCGACCTAGCAAATTTGTTGAAACGGTAGCAAACGTCTTAAACAAAACTCCTTTGGGAAGTATGCCGACGGTCGGAGCGAATCGCGGAAAGAATAGCAGCGACCCGAGTGTAGAAGAGGTTGTTTATCGAACATAATTTTTCGCATCCCCTATACATTGTATCTATTTATTTATTATTTCTTTCTTTTTAGGAATTTTTAAGTGATCCAATGACTTATCATGGTAATTTACGTGTTTCCACCGGATTGGCAATGAGGGATGGTACCGAGTGGTTGCAGTCGAACCTTGGAAATGTTAAGAAGCCATTTTTATTGCAACATGGTATGAATGACCGTGTCATTCAGGTTAAAGGATCAAGAGAATTGTTCGATCAAGCGCAGACTCCTGAAGGTCAGAAAACCCTTTTGTTATACGATGGCTGCGAACATGAAATGCTCAGAGACCCTATTGCTGGCAAGAAGGTTTTCGATGACGCACTCAATTGGATGATCACCACCGACGAGAGATTGTCCAACCAATAGAATCTAAAAAAATTTAGTCCGAGTCTGTATTTATAACTTTAAAAATATTTTGTTGACTTATTGGAATTTTTTGTATTATTTTAAGCGAATAAACAATCGGATTTATCTTTTATTATAAAATAAAATTTAGATCAATTGATAAACTGTTTAATAAATCCATTCCTGCTATGTTTGAGAAATGAAACTAGAAAAGCATTAATGCGGTGACAATTAAGAGGATCACTATTTAAAAACAAAATGTATTTACTTTTTTTTTTTTTTTTTTTTTTTAAAAAAAAGAAAAGAAATAAAATACAATCCAACATATCTTTACATGCTAGCAATAAATTCAAGAATTCATATCAAAAGTGAGTCGTTTCGCAGCACGTTGAAATGATGTTACCAAATAGGGAGATAACTAAGAATTTCGGATTACTGTCTCTATTGTAGTAGTCTAATTTAATGATAGTAGTGATTACACTGGAATGAATTAAATAATTATAAAAGAGTCACTTTGCGCAGACGTTAAATACCATGAAACTTCTACCCTCAAAGATATTTTCCAGATATGGAACTTTTTTTTTTCTTTTTCTTTTTTTGCATGATCTAAAAAAAAACAACGAAAAAAAATATACAAGAGAATTATCGACAAAATAATAGAATGAGGTATGATAAATATGATAAGGAATATGTATATTGAAAGCTATTACGAATATAATATACTACTTTTCAGAAAAGAATAATACTAAAAAAAAAAAACGAAAAAAAAAAATGGTTAACGAAAAAGGCGAATAGAATACAAGGCATAATGAAACAATCCCTTTTTACACTGAACAACAAGTAAATATTTATTAATGACGAAAATGATAATTACTTGAACCACGGGGTGAACTAACCACAGGGAATGGTGCAAGTAAAAAGAAAAAGTCCTAGGATGCGCGCCCACCGACTAACGGAATAAACGACTCACTCATCGAAACGGATGATCTCCTGTTATATAAATCCATCCTTTCGTCGTTCAGTGGAGTTCGAAAACAATGCATGTGCGTTCTCGATAATAAATTCGACCGCCGCGTTCTTAAAGGTCATATCAAGGATTTCGGTGTTTGGATTCGGTCCGCGAAGTAATGTTGGTCCGAATACAACCGAAAGATTTTTGGAGCCCATCAGATTTTCGGCCTCTCGTTGCTTAACCCTAATTGCCGATTGGATATAAAGAGTCAGATTTATGTTGCAGTTCATCATTGAACGTTGATTTCCTTACCTGTCTAAATGACACATTAGATACTTGATGGTGTCGTAGTGAGCCTTTGGCAGGCAAAGCAAAAGTTGTTGAAACTTTTCAAGTTTCTCTTCTTCATTCTCAAAGCCTTTTTGGAGTTAGACGATGAGTATACTGCTTGTAGTTCGGGTGAATTCACATATGTAACAGCCAACACTTACTGATTGCCTCCAGAAAATTGGGGTATAGTTCGTATGTTAACAAGGGATTCGGTAATTCGCGCAGGTACTGCTTGAGAACACTAGTGACCGCGCATATGTCGTTGAATTGATCAGGACCGTCGAGGTCAAATTCTTCCCCATTTTCAAAGGCCGTGATGATCGCACGCAACTGCGAAGCACCGCCGGATTTTCGATATATACCATCAAGGTCCATTCCTGTTGAAAGAATTCAGGGTGACGTATTGTATCACCATGGCCTCACGCGTATCTCAAAAAACGCACAATGCTTACCTCGAGCTTCGACGGCCTTAACACATTTTTGCACCACAAGGGGGACATCTTCTCCTTCCAATTCCGATTGTTTGGTCAGGTCGTTCCCAAAAATCGAGACGCCGTTCTCGTTCACAACAGTTTCCGAATCATTATCGTAGGATGTCCGACCGTCGCTGCATGTGGGGGAAATCATACTAGAGCATTTGACGTGAACAGTAATGTTGCATCCTGAGGAAGGATTAAAGTACCGTTCAGAAGTGCGATCGTCAATTGCATCTTGATGGTTTAATTGTCGTCATCATTCTCATACCTGTACACTTCACCTCACTCCATATTTTTTCGTGGCAATGCTCGCAGTTTACGGGACGTAAATACGAAAATGTCTGCCAGTTATGTACTCGTGAGGAATTCCCCGTTTTCCTATTCGTCTCCGGGCCAAAATTAGCTAGGTATGGAATCTTTCCGTCGGTCACCGCGTTGGCGTTTGCAAATATTTTATTCAAAACTTTACCACCTTTCCTCCATTTGAATTTCTTCGGCGTTGCACCTCGTCCAATACTATTGCGATGGGCGACATTCGTCAAAGACACAATCGGAGCACCATCGGGGCCCTCAGGATCGAAAGTGTGCAATGATGCTTGCTTGGAATGTCCTTTTTGGTTAACACTCGAAGAAGTATCCGAGGGCGTGTGACCGTGGCCGGGGGAAGGTCGGTTGCTTTTAAAGAAGTTAAATCCATTCGCTGATTTACCTTTGCCCTGTGATTCGATCTGGCGCATCAATTCATTATTCATCTCGGCGAGCTCTAAATTTTTCTCGTTTAAGTGTGCCACGTCCGCTATATACTGATTCTTGGTGCGTTGAAGCTGTTCTATCTCCTGCTTTAACTCGTCTTTTTGTTCTTGAAGCGATCGGATCTCGAAAATGTAAGTTTGTTTGACCTCATCGAATTGTGATGATAAATGTTTGGCGAAAGAACCCGGAAGGTCCCTCGATGCATTCGTGCTGATGGTTTTAAAGGTGAGAGGTTGAAGTTAACAATGATATATTATCGCCGGGTGGTTCCAAAAAACAGGCACGTAAGCGATCAGTTAAATCAATTACCCTGCAAGGCCAGCTTGCTTTTCCATGACCAACAATTCGATTTCTCTTATCATCATTTCTTTTTGCAGACCCATCTCCTTCAAACTATTCTGCAACTCCTGCAATTGTTGTCTTGAAGTTCTGGAATCTTGGATCATCTGTTCAATCTGTTCCCTATCTAATCTGGCCGCTTCTAACTTTTGGTTCTGGAGTTCAACTTGAGATTTCAATTTCTTAACCGCGATCTCTGCCTTCCGACGTAAAGAAACTTCGTTTTCAAACTCTTCTCTTGTTAAGCCAATTTCATCGAGCGTCTTCTGACTGACTCTCTGAAAAATTTAAGAGCACGCATGTCACATATTACACACGAATCGCGTCGAAATGATTGGTCAGATCTTCATGCAAATACCTTTATCTTTCTGTAATTCCTTTCCGCCTCGGTCAATTTTTTCTTCGTGTCAATCAATAGTCTCTTCAATTCTTCCACCGAAACATCTTCAAGTTCCATCACCTCGTTCTCTCGACTGGACAAGGAAGCCAGCGACGATTCACTATTCTTCCTGTCCGGTGATAAGGAACTGTTGGATGAATTCTCGATGAAGTCCGGTGTAGCGGATCCACTTCGCAGTTTAGAACTATCGTCACTCATTAGTTCACCCAAGAATGTTTGACGCTTCCTTTTTTGTTCATCCGTGTCGATCTTGTCGTTAGACACCAAGCTGATCAGGTCATCTTCCTCCTCATCATTTGAGAAAGACAATGGCGGCAACACCGGTGGACCGACGTCCAACGTGTTGTTGCCGCTACGACTGTCTTTGTGACCCGGAGAAGGTGGGAATCTTGGACTGATTGGGGAATTGGAGCGTGGTGTAGCGGGTGAGTTTGAACGCGTGCGAGAGAAGGATGGATATTCATCGAGTATTGGCGGAGTCACTTGAAGGTTTATTGCGTACTCCTCGATATGAGGTAATGGCTGTTGGGTTTGTTGAATGGCCGATGGCTTAAACTTTCGTGATAGAGAACTGGGTTTCCGGTTCGAATGGTCCGTTTCCTCGCGTTCCTGTGAACTTTGTGCAGGCGACTTTCTCGACAAGATGTCGGATACATCGCTACGTAGGCTGGTGAGCGAAAAAGTGCGCCCAGAATTATCGTAGGGTTCACTACGTGAACTTGTGATCGATGCATTTCTCGAATGATTTTCGATAATCTCTCGGTTCCTGGATGTCGTTCTAAGTAGATTGTCTGATGACTCATTTTTTTTGTAGAAAGGAATCGCTTTCTTTGAAGGTTCCGAAAGTTCGCTACGAAGCTTGCTCCTATCGGTCAAGGAATCGGACCTCTCGAGTGTGTTGGATCTCGCGAACTGTTCAAGTGCTTTGGATGCAGGATATGTTTTCTGCTTCGACATGTCACCCACCGAGGAGGGATCAAATAGTCGAGAGTGACGACGATTGAAATTCGAGTCCGAAGATACAGGAAACGCATGAGTCCTTGGTGCCTCCGTTGGGAGAGTAGTCGTGGCGTTGCGTTCAAATGATCGCTTCGGACGGATGATATGATTTGGATGTTCGAGCATATTTGGCTGTGTTAATGAGAATTCCGTTAGACGCATGATAACCCCAATGCGTGCGAAATATGACATACATACTTTCGGTTCGGCTTCAACGGGCAACGATGGTAAGGACTTTTCGAATGCTGGTGTCTGATGGGATGCCTGTTCTCTCTCTTTCGCTCGCTTTGCTCTATTGACTCTTTCGTAATGACACGTCATGCAATATATCCCCTTTGAATAATAGTTGATCGCGTTTGTTAATTATTAACGGATGTTCTTTGCATAAAGGGAAGGATATCGCCGAAAAATAAATGCCTGATTTGTTTTAGCAAACACCAAGTCTTCGATTCTCGATCGACACTGCTTGCAACGAAAACAATCTACGTGAAACGACTCTTCTCCTGATAGTTAATATTGAATAAAATGATAATTATATTAACATTATATATTAAAAGTTATTTGCCCTTAATATTGGCATCATGATCAATTTAAGTGTTTTCATGCCAATTGATGAATTCTAACCTGTCATAATGGCTTCGTCGAGTATATGCTTTTTGCAAACACTACAATTATATGTACAATTTTCACATATCGGGTTGCCGTCCGACAACAACAATAGATTGGAGTTATGCTCTACCAAGTTGTGACATTTAGCACATTTAAAACTATTTTTTGCGATAGGGTCGGGTTAATTATTATAGTAGGAAGATTGTTTGAAAATGAAAGGAAGGCACAAATTTTGAGGTGTATTCACTAAAATAATTCTGGTACTTACCAATGGACGTGCCATATGCCTTCGCCGAAAGCAATACCCTCCTCAATCGGAAGATCGCAACCCATACAACGCGGTGTTTCCTCGGTGTCAAAAGACGAACCAATCTCATCAGGCATGGTGGTATACGATTGAACGGAAGAATAATGACATGTAACTTTTAATTGACCAGATTAGAAAACAAAAAAGTGAGATATTTGATATATACAAAAGGAGAGTGCAGCGGAGTGAAAAAAATGTACAGGGAGAATTTTTGCAAAGAAAGGAAATAGAGATTTCGGAATTTGAGGATTCGCTGTTGAAAAATGGAATAAATTAGGGATCTTTGCGTTTTCAGGTGTGGTTTCGAGTGAATGAAGAATAAGTGCCAAAAAGAGAAAACCATGTGCAAGTGTTCGGTCCGCAAGTCGGTGGTATTACTGGTAGATTTCATTGCATATCTTAATTTATACAAAACCTAAAACCGAAATTGCAGGTGGGACCTGAATGCGTGAATTGTAGAGTACATTTTAAAAATGGTGTGTGCTACGACACAATTGCGTTTATTGCGTTTAGCAAATTGGTCAATTCACGCAGTATAAACATTTGCCGGTCTAGCCTATAATGTTAACTTCTTTACAACGTCTTCATTTTTTTCGGCGTAAGCGCCCACCCGTTTGCTCGAGACGGTTTTGTTAATAAACAAATTAATAAGCTACAGTATGGCAAAGGGGGGGGGGGGGAATAACTTCCATTGAATACAATTCGGTCTCATAAGAGTTCCATACGCCTAGTTGTCGGTAATCGTGTAACTTTGGTGACATTAGTATGCCTGCAGTTTCCAGAAAAAGAATAAAGGCTTCCCTCTCTCTCTCTCTTATCGTTTCATGTTTGCCCGACAAATAGCAAATCGCATCTAGCACACGATACGATAATTCGAATTTGCTCGATGACGATGGGCAACCAACTAGTATTTTGCGTAATTATTAATTGATCGTCGAACAAGAGGTATCATCATATTAAACAAATACACAAAAATATTATTAATTTATAATAAATGAACTATTTTTCATTCAATGATACAGCATACTGTAAATCTAATTCTACCGCATGCTCAATTTTTTTTTTTAATAGGAAAACTATAAATAAATATATGGTCTGATAGTTTTTGACAACATTTATCAAATTATATACAGTATTTAAAATTTAAAAAAAAGTAATTTTCAAGATTATTTTAATTATTGATATACAGTATAATGATAGTAAATTGTTACTTTTTATATTTTATTTTTTAGATACTGTTTTATTCTAAAATCTCATTTAATAACATTTAAAAGTTTGTAATTTAATCTTATGACTCAAACATAGTTTAATCCAATCCTAAATTAAATTAAATAATTTAAAACTTAAAATTTACTCTAAGATCATAAATTTTAAGGAATATTATTATTTTTAAAAAACTCATTTTTAAAAAATATCTATTGTAAAATTAAGAACTCGCAGATACTTGCACAAAAATTCGGGACCCCACAATCCGCTCATATCTAATATTAGGGCATCTGAATCTTTGAATACACAGGATAACATTACACAAGATTTTCGCACCAAGATAAAGCTTTGATTCACTGATGAATATATACAAACTTCACAATCGACCCTAATGCGATCAGGAAATAATTAATGATCTCCCCGCTTTCTTTTCCTATTGTATGACACCTCAGGACTACCGTCTGAACTTGAGGAGGACGATGATCGAGATGAACCCCTGGAACTTGATCCGCTATCACTGTCTGCGCTCGAACTAACGCTAGACGACGAGGTGGTCGACGAATCGCTTTCACTATCGCTCGAAGAACCGGATGACGCTGATGCTGATGATGATGCTGATGATGATGATTCGTCAGATGATAATGAGGAAGAAGGTGTCCTATTACCAATTTGATGAGATTTAATGCAGAAAGGCCTACGAATAACATCAATAATATTAAGTTGTTTGTTTTGCTTACTTTTCTTTTCTACGCCGTTTCCTGTTGTGGGATTTCTCCTCTAGTGGTTTCTCCAAATTTTCAACAATTTCCTTCCTGCCATTTAAAGAATACGAGAAGTTATAAAGCACCAAAGACAATGACAAATCTTCATTTTAATGTTTTTCCACTTACTTTGGCCCCAAGTCTTCGGGTAATTCGACAGATATCGGCTTCAAAGGTTTCGTAAGCTGCTGAGTTCTGGTCGGTCGGGATTTGTACACTGGAGTATTCTTACATTCATATGTCTAAAGGTGAAGGTTTCTTAGTGGAATCGATCAAATATACCCAATATAATTATAATGCCTACCCAATGGCCAAGCTCCAGACATTTTTGACATTTTGTTGTTGGAGAAGCTTTTAGGCTAGTGGAAGGGTATCTGTGCAAAGATCGCGAAGAGAATTAGATTTCCATATTAGACCAGTTTAAAGAAGCCGATCCTATCTTCCAGAAAAGTTCTTGCCTGCGAACAGGTCCACCTCTGTTCATTTTCAAGTTTAGCGCGTAAATGCGTAATAACCTGGAATAAAATTAGCTGTAGGTGTTACAAAAAAAAACATTGTTACAATTTATAAGAAACTCACCTTGCTATTACAGTACAATAAAAGTAACCAACTTTTTTTAAAATTTCTCTAATGAAAGTATTTCATTTAAATTTTTATCCAATTTTTTTGTTTAATATAAATCTATTCAAATTGATTTAATTAAAATTTAATCAAACTATTTACTTTAATAATTTATATTATTGTTATTTTTTTAAATTTATACAGTCTATACGGTCTAATTATTAATAAGATCATCTATAAAATACAATTTAAATTTTTTTAAAACCCATAGTCAGGTCAGCATAATATGTTTATTAATCTTTAAAAAAACTGATAAAGATATATTGAGCAATTATATCATGGTTAAACTAAACCTTATGCTAACTTACTTATCAACATCTTTCAATTCTTAAATAAGCTTTAACTTTTAAGTATAATCTTGAGAATAATATTTTGCTTTATAATAAGTTTTGAGTAAATACTTTCTTAACTTATATATTATTGTTAACAGATTATTATTATTTATTATTCAAAACTGATTTCAAAAAATTATAAAAAATAAAAAAAAAATAAAAAAAAAAAAATATCTAAAAATATACAAAGTATATACTATCATAAAACCTTAATAATTTTTTTACCTTATAATGTAAAAGAATTTCAAAAATAATAGAAATTCCCATTAATTTTTATATTATTATATAATATCTAGAAAAATGTATTTTTAATCTTAAAGAAAAATATTAATTTACAACCTTTTGCTTTTTAGTCTTATTGACTAATTGAAATAAGAAAATAATCTTCCTCATATACTTTGCCTAACTAGAATAATAAAAAGTAAATATTGGCTTAAACAAATTATCACTTAAAAAATTTAACGTATATTTCAATGATTTCATAATTTTTTTATTTTGATTATATTTTATTTAAAAAAAATGAAAACTTCTGTATCAATAATTTTTCTTTTTTTTTACTAGTAACATTATCAAAACACATAAATATGATCAAAGAGAATTGTTTATATTTTGTTAATAACATATTTTATGTTATCTATCAGATGCTAATAACATTGTATTATCAAAAATTTAGAATTAAATTAAAGTAGGCAAATTTCTTTAAAAAAATCATAAAAAACAATAAATACTTTAAAAAAATCAAAATCAATATATGAAAAGATAAATAATAATCTTTTTCTGTTAACAAAAATCTTTATTTTTATATTATTTTTAATTTTGAAAAGTGATATTCCATAAGTTGATTTTTCTATTTTCTAGAACCTTCTTATTTTTAATAGCAAAAAATGTAATTGAGTCTATTTAAATTATCAAAGACTTAAGTTTTTGTTCAAAAAAATTTATAAATAAGTAGAAAAAATAATAACTATTTTTGAAGATAAGTTTTGAATTATTTTAAAAAATATTTAAAGACTTTGTTAGTTCAGAAGTATAAAAACTTCTTATAAACATCTTTTTTGTATATAATTGAAAAATTAACAGAAAAAGTTTTATTAACTTTATAATATTTTTATTTTATAATAGTATTAGAATCTAAAATATTCTATTTATAACAATCAGCTGATACCTTGATAATATATAAAAAAAATGTTTATAAGAAATTTTTATATTTATTAACTAATAAAGTCTTTATATTTTTTTTAAAACAATATAAAGCTAATTTTCAAAAATTATTATTACTTTTTTTACTTATTTATAAACTCTTTTGAATAAAAACTTGTGTCTTTAATAGTTTAAATAAACTCAAATATATATTTTCTTTATTAAAGGTAAAAAGATTCTAAAAAGTAAAAAGACCTATTGATGTAATACTATTTTTTAGAACTAGAAATAAACAAAGATAAAGAATTTTTGATAGAAAAAAATTGAGGGGTTTTTTTTTAATATCTGTAGCCATATTAAATTATTAATTTATTAATTAATTGAAAATATAAGTATATTTTTATTCAAACAGCATAATACATACTATAGTTAAACTATTATCCTAATTTAACTAACTCATCATAAGTATAAAAGTCTTTAAGTTCAGTCTTGAGAACAATATTTCACTTTACAGTATTTTTGAATAAAAACTTTTTTAGTCCATTGTTTTTTTTTTTTTTAATCTTTTGTCAAATTAGCATGACAGGTCTTTATTGTATATATTCTAGGTATTTATAAATTTTTGTGACTTTCACATACTGACTTACTCATTATCAAAAAGCTATTTCTTTAAATGCAACCTAAGAAATGATATTTTGTTTCTTTACTAATTTGAATAATTCCTCTAATTAATAAAATCATTGCCTACAGATCATTACTGTAGATCATTCTAAATTCTATTTGTAATTAAAATCAAACCATTTTATTCTATAATAAATTCAATTCTTAATAATCACCATATAATTCTTTTCTTCTATTTCTTTGATGTTCTTCAGGTTTGAATCCTCTGGAGATAATGGCAATTCTTTTTGATCCTGTTTGATCTATTCATCAGGTTTGGACTTGAGACTCTTATTTCTCTTGTCCTCTTCTGTAATATTTTGCTTCTTTTTTTATTCTATAACTTTGACACAGTGAGTATTTCAGATCTCTTTTTTAAAGTTTGCTCTTATCTTTTGATAAAGTTTACTGATTATATCCTATGTGTTTGCTAGTGGGATCTTGAGCTGCTCTTTGAAATACTTCTTCAAGGAAATGGTTTTGCTTTCTTTTATATATCCATAGATAGTATTGAAAAGACCCTATCAGATTTCTAGATCTCTTCTAATTATTTGTCTATCCAGGCACTTATTTTAAGTTGAACTTCTTTCTTATCTTTTATTTTTTTATCAATAAGTTTATTGATCTTTTCGTTTGCCTTCTGCCATAAGTTCTTTCGAGTTTTCCTAATAGCTAAACATTCAAAAAGATGTCCTAGTGTCTTTTCTTGAAGTTTGCATGCTGGGCAAGTGGTTGTGATATACACATCTGATTTCTTCTTCTTAAGTATCTGTAGAACTGGAAGTTTATTATAAGTTAAGTTAATTAGGAAACTTTTATCTTTATTGATTTTAAAAGAGGTATCAAAGTTATTGATTGGATTGAACTGATTCCAAAAGGTTGGCTAGTTTATAATTTTATTATTTTGGATCCAAAGATCCTGAATCTGTTTCTGTGTTGTCCAGTCTAGTTCAATCTTTTTCTCATTGAATATTTTAACGAAATCTCTTATATAAATTTTTATTGTGTATTCTCCCCATATTGCTATTATGAGGACTCTTCCTAGTTCTGGTATCTGATACCAAGTTATTGGATTCTCTTACTTGACCTGTTTGGCAAGTAAGTTTACTTGATTGTTGAATATGTTGATTCTATAGACTTTGACTTTTAGAATTTCCAAATTCAGGTTTTTTTTTTCTTACTAGATTCTTGATCTCATTCTAAAGTGGCCAGTTAGTGATCTTTGTTCATCTTCTTATAGATGTCTCTATTTGTGAGTAAATGGATTTCCATATTTTGACTGTGATGTTGCAATCAGTGTAAATTGTAACTGTTGTATTTTGGGAGGCTGTTTACAATATAATAAGAATAACTAGTATTACAGCCCTGGTTGCTAATGACCATATGAATGTTTCTGCTGAGAACTGTTTAATTATTTTATTTTCCTTTATTATAATCCAAGCTAAACCCATTTCGAATTCACAATTTGTCATTCCTTTTTTATAAGATCAATTTGTGTAAAACATAAGTTGATCAGATATATTCCTTTTGATATATCTCAAGATGCTCTTAAGTTCATCTCTGTATTCTTCTGTTTTTATGGCTTTTTTTATTAGTAAGATATTTCAATATTCTACTTGAATCTCTATTTTGACTAGTTTTAAAATTGATAGAGTCACTATTTGTTGAAATACATTTGTTTGCCAATCTGTAGGATTTCCTGACAGAAGAATTTGTTTTTTTTTTTTTAGATTATTATGTTGATTAAGCTGATGAAAGAAAACTTGATAGCTATTACACTGGCTCTGCCAAAAAGTATATAAGTTACTTTTCAAAGTTAAAGATGAAAAAACATATTCGATTATCAATAAGGTATCTTATCAATTAAATTTATACTACAAGAGAATAGAGAATACAGAAAAGCTATTCCATCATTATGAAAATATAAGATCATGTTTCTAGATCAACTTATTAATACTATCACAATGATACTTAAGGAATAGAGAGCAGTTCAAATTTTCTATAGCAGATGCAAGGACTGGTTCCCTTCTGATACAAAAAAGTGAAGAAAAAAATAACAGTAAATCAAGATTTCCTATGAAACTCTTTATATGGGCTTGAATGGATGGTTTACAATATGCAAACTGAAGTATTCCCAACAAACCCAGATAGAAGGAAAATTTACTGAACAGTTTAGACTAATACTTTAACAGATGTATAGGGAAAGATAGTATCTATAAACAATAAAACCTATTTCATTCATATTAGCTAGTATATGATCCTACTAGTAATAATACTTATATTCAATCAGATAGTATAAAGTAACTATTAGAAATAGTCCTGTTACAGATCTACGTTTTCCCACAGCTTAATCAACATAATAATCTAAAAAAAAAAAAACAAATTCT